CATGGATCTGTTGGAAATTTTATCAATTTTGAGTCAAGAGAAATTGGAGCAGAGTAAAGTAAATGTAATTTAAACAAGACCATAGACGTTGAGATATGTGGGAAAATAGACTTTGAAATGGTAAAAATAAATTTGACAGAGCTTGTATTGAATGAGATTGAGATAAAAATTTTGGTAATAGAGTATTTGAAGTGAAAATAATGCTTTTAATAAAATCCAATAGGTAATGAAGTAATTTAAGATCTAATTATTTTCAGAAGAGAATGTATAGGTTGTAATTACGTAATCAGCAATGACATTAATTACAATTGAGATGGTGGATTTAAGAGAGAGTCTTTTCGATTTCAATTTAAATCGAATGATTCTGAGGCGTGGCTGTAGGAATCTCTAGTAGAACCTATAGAGGTTCTTTAATATTCAAAGAGCGAAGAGGACAGTGTAGGGACAAGCTCAAGCTTGGTTGGTTAATGAAGAATGACTTTCAGGAGGAGTTTGAGGGTAGAGAAATTCTCTGGTATCTCGAAAGATTTATTTTCATCCCCTTTGTAAATCCCAAAGTAATGCCTGCAAAGTACAAAATATATTTTTTATTTTATGCAAAATAAATTTGCATTATTTACCATAATTTTTGTTCAAATTTTATTTCCTGAAAAACTGTTGACATAATTTTCCATAACATCAGTGATATTTTTTTAGGCTTGTTTTTTTCGATGCTTGAATTCGACAGAATAGCGATAAAAATGAATTGTTAAAAAATAAAGATAAAAGTATAAATGAAAAATATGTATAATAAAAAATAAAACCGTGGGAAAAATTGAACGACCATCCATTGGGGAGTTGCTGGACGCCTGGGGTGTACACAAGCCTGTATATATTTTCAATTTTCATTTATGTGCGTATCGCTGTCACTAATGTATCGTATACTAACAACATATTTCGCGATTTTACTGTCACCCCCGTTGTTCGTTAGAGTAAATACATATGTGATTATACATATATAATGCCCAAGGCGTATAAAACATTTTTCACTAATATATATCCCATACATGTACCCCTCTGCTAACATACATATATAAACACTCACCCTCCAGGCAAATTACCCTCTAATAATTCATTTTCCATAGCTATTTCCAATCCGCCAATAGTATTCTCTATGAAGAAAATCACCCAGACTGTGGATTTATTTTTCAATTCCAGATTAATACTATTCTCCATCATATTATTTAAATCTCTACTACTTTTTTTTTTTTTAATATTATCACATAATATTATTTAAAATTTAAAAATATTTAAATTAATCAGCAAAAATGAGTTAACAATGGTAACAGTGACAATAACTTCAAAGTGACAAAACAAAAATCACTATTTCAGACATTTTTTTTCAATGAATATTACACCTAAAAGCGATTTTTGTATCTCAAAAGATCTTTCTCGTAACAGAGATGAATTTGACGGCTGTATCTAGGTACGTTTTTGGTATTCATTTACACGGGTATCAGTATCTCTAACGTATCACATAGCAACGAACCCTTGGTGTCAGTATAGAGGAAGAGAGAGAGAAGGTGATTGGGGTTGTATTCGTTGGCCATCGTATGGGCGCAAATGGGGGAGGATACAGGGACAGCCTAAAGGCAATAGGGAACAGAACGGTTGTTTCCCACGGAAGACGAACCACCCCGAGGCTGTTGTATTGCTAGGATGGGGTTGAAATACATCCTTTCTCTCTCTCCCTTAGGCATCGGTATGTATGATCTTCTGTATCACGTTGTCTACCAATTAACGCTATTGAGTTTAGCCTTGTGTACCTCCCTGCACATGTTTAGGATCTCATATTCGAGGGGAAAGCTTTGAACATATTGCCAAATTAACGAAGAAAAAAATTATTTATCATTTCGATTAAGATTAAGAGCTTAGATACTGAATAAGATCTTGATAATCAATTATTTACTTTCTTTTCAACTTATTTTTGATTTGTATTCCATTGAAATTGGTTTTCAATTTTAAATTAATTTTAATTTACTCTCTTTATACTCTAAATAAGTAACAATTGAGTCCTATAGTTGGATTTACAATTCTGTGTTCATTTCTCATTTGACAGAAAATAATTGAGTTCTTTTTGAACTAATAATACAACTATATATTTCTCTCAGTTTATGCAAAATGGCCACTAGCATAGATTAATAGCATTCAGAAATTCCATTTGATAATTCTGTCCTTAATACCTTGAAATCTATCAAGTAATTAGTGATCATGCAAAAAAATAAAACCGTGCCAGATGTAAAAATAGCTACATTGAAGAAGTATCAATGAAAAAGAAGCTTTTGAAAAATAAATTACCAATAGAAGTGAAGAAGAAATGCTGCTTTATAAGTATATTTATTAGTTCGTAATATGAAAAGTGTAAAAGATGAAGAAATTTGAAGAGCTAATGAGGTATTGGACAGTCAGATAGGATTAGGGATGAGTTTAAAATGAGAGACGTTTGAAGATATAATAGAGTCTTTGAAAACATAGTAGAGGGGGAGTTTAAAATCTGTATAGAAGTCTGTATGAATTCTTTTGGTTGTTAAAACCGTAACGATGCTCGCAAAACCAAACTCAAAGGCATGTCCGCACCAAATGGTAAATGTCGAGCCGTCAGAGTTCAAAGGCAACTTGTCGACCGCGAAGCAGCTCAAAATATAATGAAGTCAAGCTGAGCTAACGGTTGTGGGTGTGTTTATATGGAACCATTGATTTTTCCTTCATAAACTATATTTAGTTATTTAGTTACTTTCCAATTTCGTAATATCTTTCTACATTTTTGACTAGCTCTTTTGGTGTCTTTAACGACAAAAGAGCAACACCATCTAGAAAATAGACGAGATAAACGCCGAGACATGGTCCCAAGACAGGACGGATCTTTCCTCTTTGACTGACAGAGTTACGACAGCCAGACGTCGTACTTCAATATTACCTCCCTTCTGCTCTTTTCCTTTTCACATCACCCGTAAGCTCACCTTTGATGTGATTCCCATTGGCACTACACATCCACAGAAGGCTCGACCTAAAATAGAATATTCCAAACCTTGTTTGCTTTTCTTCAATCAAAAAAAAGAAGGAAATAAAAAAAATCATGATGATGATCAAAAATATTAATAAGCTTAGAAGAATTTTTAAATGATTGATATAATAAATGTTTGTAAAGCTACATTTTGTAATTGACTATAAATAAAAGATGAAAATAAAATTTATTGGATCAAGTAATATTCTTTGAAACCACTTGGGTCTTTCCTTGATTAACTTGCGGCTGATTAATCGTCCGTTGTCGATCATCACTAGTGCACGTTCCTAGAAATGAACCTGTGTCTCCAGAGGATCATTGACACGCGTCAGTCCCAACAGGTTCACCCCTTGAATCTAGTTGATATCAGGGGAGAATTGACTATGCCCATCCTCAAAATAGACACGATAGCATGCTATTTTACTGTATTTAAAACATTTAAATAATTATTCATCACAGACCCTCCTACTCTGCTTCATGTAGAAAAATAATCTGATTAACCTAGTTCTATCAAGTTCTATTATCATTAATATTAATAGGAATAATATCATATTAAATTTTAATTAAACCAAGATTTAATAAAATATTATTTCCCCACAACACAGAGAGTTTGTAATTGTCATTCATAATTATTCTTATATTAAGAAAATTCTAATAGCATATCTTAGACATTGTGTGCAGTGACTAAAAGCTTTTACAGTAGCTTCAGTTCTATCTAAATCCATGTCAGACTGAAATGTCATTAGATTTAGGTCGTCACATCACCTTCTTTTATATCGATAGATCTCCCATGAAACCACCTCACAAGTAGGTCAACTATTATATATTTTCAAGATCCTCTCTTTCCCTCTTGTTCTGTTCTTTCCTTTGTTGTTGAATTATCTAACACCCTACTTTTATGAATAAGTTCAATCGCCAAAAAAAAAAGACTGTCTTTGAAACATCCTCTTGCAGTAGGTCAAAGACTAGAGTTTCGAGATGTCGCTCATGACGAAATCCACTTGGGGTTGAAAAAAAAATTGATTTTACACGGTTTTGTTTGAGGATAAGGCAGTTGGGGTTGTTATAAAAGAGACAAGATTTTTTCATTGACTTATTGTTCATGCATATACATTTTTGATCTCTTTGAAATTTTATTTTTAGTCATCTAAAAATAATAATAAATAGAATAATTTTATTGACTATGATTCTTTTGAAAATAGAACAATTAAGACGAGACAGTGATTGAGTCATAAATGTCATTTTATTTAGGTCATCTATAAAAAATATGAAAATTTATTTTTATTCACGTGACAAATAAAAATGATATCAAATTTATAGTTTTTTTTTTTGTTAAGAAGGTGTTGAAAGTTACTGGAGATAATCTTAGCAACCATCAAAACCGGATGTGGCAAACCTTTATCTGCGAAAAAAAAGGCGATTGAGTCCAGTCGATTGTATCAACTATCTTATTACAATCTTGAAATTTAATCTGAACGGATAAAAAGTATCTGCGGTGATAAAAGAGCAGAAACTGTCAGACAATGATTACAAACATTTCATTTTGAAATTTAGCGAGCTTTAACCTTTAGTTTGTGAGTAAAAAGTAATTTTGAAAAGTGCAAGAACTGTCAGGAGGTAAAGTTTATACAAAAACATATAAATCTATTGTCGAGGTGACCCGGATCTTGGCCGATTTACAAGGCAAACTTGAAGGAAGGAAGCGAGAAAATGTTTTCTCGCTTTTGCAAAGATATTTGGGAGCTTGTTAGAGGAGTTTGTCCTGTTATCATCTTGTCTGTATTGAATATATGTATTGTATGAGCTCGAGAAGCTAAGAGAGAAGAGTTATGGTTCACAGCATATTATGTTGTATAGAAAGAGAATTAAACAACCCCGAGAACTCGTAGTATAACACAACGGTAGCAGTTGCAAAATCGGACGTTGGTATTTACGAGGAAACTTGCTCGTGTTTCAGGCTCCTGCAAATTTCCGGAAGCATGGTCAGGACAATGGTTCCAGTCAGGAAAACAGTCTCCTGTCACTATAAATGCCACCTCGTTTGGAGACAAGACGTGCATAGAAAACAAAAATGACATGTATTCTCTCTACGACACGTAAGTATCATTCAATTATTATAACTCTTCACTAATGATCTATCTGACAATTATTTCTCAACAATACACTATTTTTACCTTCCTTGTCGATTGTTATATCTAAAAATAATCTCGAGATTTCTTTTAATAACTTTCCTTCAATCAAATAATTAAATTATAATAAAATAAATCAAAAATGAAATATGTTTAAAATCAATATATTCATGACATTGCAAACTTCTCTCAATTAATGAGTTTGTTTTAATAATATTAACTACTTAATTATGCATCAAGAATAATTTTTCATTAGATTAAAATATATTTAATAGCTAATTTATGAAAATGAAAAACACTATTATCATGTTAATTATATGGAAGCATAGGAAGTCATGATTGTTGAATATTTATTTCATATTAAATTTAATTGCCAACTAATTAACTGTTTCCTTTACATAATAAAATTAATTTCGATGAAATTCATTTTTCCAGGACTGGTGATAATTGTTATCGATGTCTCATAATAAATGATCGTCATGTCAATGTCATTCAATTTCGCGAGGGTAAGTAATATCATTCCTATATCTCATTATACACATACACATCATCTTCAATCCACGCAATATCGAAAGAAAACACTGATGCTTTTATCAATATACAACCAGCGGCTTTTCCTGTTGGAAACACGATGCTTTTTATATACATCTATACAGAATATCGTTTGCATTCTTATATACCCCCTTGTATACTTTCCATTCTGTTGTTGGCTATCATGATACCTTATCAACAAGAAGAGCATCTTATCACTGATGGATTTTACGAGATCAACTTGTCTGAACAATAACATTTCCCTTTAAAATTCTATTATTATTATTCATAAAGTAAATTAATAAAAATAATATTAAAGTCTGTGAAAAATTATTATTATTTTTGAAATCTTTAAAATCGACAAAAAGAGAGAAAGAAAACTAGATATTTTTTAATTCAATTAAGATATTAAGATAAAAAGTATTTAATAAATATAAAACTTGAATATTAAAAGTTTTATTTTAATTCCAATTAATATTAAAATTATTTAAAAGAATAAAATAATTAATTTTTAATTCTGTTAATTACAAGTATTACAAATGAGTACACTGTGATTTATTAAATCCCATAAAATAGAAAAACTAATTAGAACGTGAAGATAAGACGAATTATGAGATTCAAACATTAAAAAAAAACCCCTGTAATCTTAATCAAGAGTGTACAAAGAAAAAATTATCTAAGGCAATATAATTTTGGTGTTAGTTACAAGTGTGTTAAATCAACGTAATGATTTATGAAACTAAATAAAAACAAACTGTGATTTACATGACACTCCATTAAAGTAGAGTGCAGAGAGGTATAATTCCGGAAGTCTACATTACAAAATTCTTGGTGTTAATTTTTTTTTAAATACATTATCATTAAATTATCACAATGAACTTTAATTATTCTCGAAATAAATCAATTAGAACATTATAGAGATTGAGTACATTCGAAAGTGATGTTTATTTTTTTTTTTGATTGATTACAACTTTTTTACATACAAGAAAATTCATAAAAGATGTAATTTAAAGTTTAAGATAGAATGAGTTATAAATATAGAAAATAAATCAAAACTTTTACAGTAGCATCTTAACGAGAAATAAAGCAGGATGATTTTTTACAGATGTTATAACAACATGAAATGTAATATTGTGCTGTCAAAAAGATTATTTTTGAATAGCATTAAGTCTTTGCAACGTAATTGTGCATCGATTCGATCAGAGTATGAGGATTTTCCGGTCTTGACACGGACGTACGGTTCCGGACAATAGAAGCAGCTTCGAGTGTAGGGGGGGGCTTTGGATATGCTTTTCGCGGAGTAGAGGATACTCGTGTATATGGAGTAGCTCATAGAACATGAAGCTGAAGCTGGGTTATAACTAAACGGAACATTGGACCATCGTTCGATGATTTCCGAGGTTGACGGGCGTGCCGTAACTAAAACTGACGTCCATTGTACTCAGCCACATCCTGTATTCGCCGCGAGGGCCTACCGTGGCCTCAATATATCCTCTATCCAGTCTCTCGCCATATGGCACATTGCAAGTCAACATTTTAGTGGATTATTGAACAAAAAAATTGATATCCTGGCAGTTATGAATACCGATGATACTGATAGGACACGTGAAGCTTCAGTGTACACTGGTTTATCATGCATATCAACTCACTCGACCAATTAGAGTCATTTCAACATTCACAGAAAGAATATTTAAGTTCCTCTTGTCAACAATTATTATCTATGATTTTTATACTTTTACAAGCTAAAGAAAATTAGTTTCAATTATTTACTAAAACAAATATAAACTATTTTTTGTGAAGACAGATTTTTTTTTTTTTGTTTTAATAAATAATAGAAATTTTCCAGTGGATTTTAATAATAAAACAAACTCAAAGTTGAAAAGTTGACTAATTCAAGTCACAAATCCCCAGTGAGAAAGATTTTATTCAGAGCTTTCACATGTTTTCGACGATGCAATCAATTTTTAATCGACTTTGAAAATAAATAACATTTCACATTTGACCTATTTATTTATATATATATATATACATATATATATATATATATGTATAAGTTAGCTGACAATAATTGGATCGATCTCACCAAAACTTATGTGAATCTCATTTTTTATTAGAATGTTGTGATACTCTTTAGTCAATTTTTTATTAAAATCAATTCGCGTCAAAATTCAATTGTTATATTTTTAACCCTTAAAAATATTTTATTGTATTATTCAGACTAACCTAGATTTGAAAATTGTCAAAACTTATTATTTTTTTTCTATTAAAAACTAAAAACGATATTTCTAAAAAAAAAAAAATAAATTTCATTCCAATTAATGACTTATAACAAGTAAAAAAAAAAAAAAAGAATATTATCATTCTCTTCCCCGAGAGCACATCAGCATGACTTTGCTTTTACTTTCCCGCGTGTCTTATCTTCCAGATGAATCTCCAGATTCCAAGTAGTCTCACATTCAGGGTGAGTCTAGGTAACACAGGCACCCCAGAAGTATAAGTAGAAGAGGTCGGTAACTGTGGGTGGATGTAATTTCCCAGTCGAGTGAGTTCTCGCGATTAAGGGGTCGACACGGTGCAACGATCCTTTCCTCAGTTTTAGCTTTGAGACCCTGGTAGTACTCAACTACTGTAAGTTGGCATGTCTCCCATATGTGTGTAGCTATCTCGTTTACTCTAGTGTACCAGACGGATGTTCACCTTTCCATATCATGGAATTTTGTTTGGTCTCACGTTCATTTGGGGAATAGTCGAGTAAAATGAGAATGAAACCACGATAATTCGCACTCTGTACGCACAATCCCGCATGCGGTCGGTTATGTAACGTCGTTACATTCGTGGAATATTGCCATCATCTCATGTTGTATCGTATGGACGAGCGACAAAAGCGATGGAGAGAGACAAGGTTTGCCCAAACTCTGCTATTACTAGAGCAATCTCAAACTCGAATGTTTTGCGTATAAATGTGGTTATGCATTTCCGCATACCATATCCATGTGTATTTTGTGTGAAATAGTCTGATAAAGATGACCATCCTCGCTTTTGTTGTCTCTGCACACTCTTCTACATCACTTTAATGGTTTCTGACGCATTCCAAAATATCATACATGATTTGAATAAACCCCTTTCATTTGTTGTATTAATAATATATTGGTTAAATTACCATAACTATTTTATCTACTCTAATTTTATCCTATTTTTTATTTAATCACGACAATAAACTAATCAATAAATCGTTCACATATTTTTTGACATTGAATATTTTTGAAAAAAACCTCTTAAATTTCAATTGGATTAAAATATTTAAAAATTCTAGAATGATTGATGAAACTTAAAAATTCCATTAATATTGTAAACCATTAATCGATTAAATAGTTATAAAATATTTCTATTCAAAATTAGATTTTTTAAAGATGATTTAAAATAACACCGCATAAAAATCACGATGAAATTTCCATAATTTGTAACGGCTACTTAAGCTTTGATATATAAATTCAAGAGTCATTTTCCGGCTATTTTATAGCTTAAGTAGAAAATGATAACAGACAGATATAACGAGCCAATAGATTAATATATATCCTGACCACAATGACTGGTCAAATCTACCCCCTTATGTGAAAGCACGAGGGCTAACTCGTCAGGGGAAATTGAATAAAAAATTAATGCAGTAAATTTACACTTAACTAAATAATAAAAAATCATTCGTCATTGTTTATGTGTTTATGATAGTGTATGTAATAGGAAACGATTGAAATCTCCGTGACTAATGGTTATATTCAATTCTATTTAACGTTTGAACATGTATAGTATAGTGAATTCTCTTCACTTGGCGGTGGTATTATATTTATCTGGCTTCTCGTATCCTATTCCACAGCTTCCATATCACGATGGCTGTAGTAGGTACATACATGTGGTATATACAACAGGAACGACATGTATGTACAACGAAAACTGCGTATCTCTATGTCGTTCGCAAAACTATGACCACGAAGAGAGCAAAAGAGAGTGAGATAGGAAGAAAAACGCATCGTTCGTGTTTTCCCTCCTTCCTACTATCACATTCTCTTGGTAACACTGGGCTTTCGATTCGGGCATTCGGGCGTGACTGCTGCCGTATTACCTCTTCATACTTGCTACACTAGTTCCAGAGATAACACTGGAAAATAATAAAAAATAAAACAATAAACAAGAAAAGAAATAAAAATTGTTGCCCTGAAAAATTGAAATAGCGATTGTGTATTGAGAAAACTGTGAACACTAGAGAGAAAAATTATTTCCAATATTCTTTCTCATTAATATTTTTAATATATTAATGGATTGTTCTTTACTTAACTTTTTTCTATTTTACTAAGCTGTTAAAATATTTGTGTAATTTTTTTTTTTTAATTTTTTTTCAATTAAAATATCCATATTTACCAAATGGAAGATTATCTGTTATTTAATTTGGAATATTCTAGTATAATAAAAAATAAATTTTTCAATTTCACTTCTTCTAAACTTCATACTGATATTCTGTTACGTGGAAAAAAATTTTAACTTTGTAATGTAATGTTTTATTACTTTATTTTCATTTTTTAAAATCCAAAAATATTTTTATCTCAAAGCACACTTTTCTGAAGACTTGAAATATAAAATATTTATCAACAAATTTCAATGCAAAAATTCGCTACGACAGTACTCGAAATTGAAGAGTATGCAAAGAGAAAAAAATAAAATTCGAAAACAGTAATACAACAATGTATATCTTCATACAGATGTATGAAGAAAATAGAAAATTTGTATGTGTGGTTATTTTACAAGAATATCAGGATGCACATTTGCAAAAAGGAATTCAAGGCAGAACGAGAATAGCAACGATACAATCTCTCTTTTTCGTAGCTGAGATTGAACGTATGAATTTTTACCAGGAGATATTACGCAGTGAGGTTTTATCTTGGATAAACGACTGACTCGGTTGATTATAGAAAAGACGGTTATA